GCTCCTTATTCATCCCTCGTTTTGAGGCGCCTCAAAAATAGGTTCCTTATTCATCCCTCGTTTTGAGGCGCCTCAAAAATAGGCTCCTTATTCATCCCTCGTTTTGAGGCGCCTCAAAAATAGGCTCCTTATTCATCCCTCGTTTTGAGGCGCCTCAAAAATAGGCTCCTTATTCATCCCTCGTTTTGAGGCGCCTCAAAAATAGGCTCCTTATTCGTCCCTCGTTTTGAGGCGCCTCAAAAATAGGCTCCTTATTCATCCCTCGTTTCTTACCCGCCCATCTCGCTCTTCCCCTTTGCCAGCAGAGGAGTGGGAAACGTCAGACGACGAAACAGGCACCAGACCACCCACCTCCGCCGCTGCTGCCGCTGCCGCCGCCGCTGTGGCTGCTGCGAACGCATCAACATCAGCAGCATCAGCATCTGGGATCCCTCCTTCCCAACCTGTGAATGTTCCGTCTGCTGCTGCTGGAATGGGGCCGCAAGGGGGAGGGGGCGGTGGGGCAGGCGCAGGGGCAGGGGCCGGAGAGGGAGGGGTAGGGGGAGGGGGAGGGGGAGAAGGGAGAGCGGCAGCAGGAGGTGCGGGTGCTGGTCGTGGGGGCGGTAGAGGAGGGGCGGAGGGCTACCACCAACAGCAGCAGCAGCAGAAACACGGGATGGTTCCTCGGAGGTCCGGTGGAGCGCCGAACCAAAGCCAAGAGGCTCGGCGTGCTGCAGGAGGGGGAGCAGGAGTGGGAGCTGGAGGGGGTGGTGGGGAGGGTGCGGGTAGGGGGGAAGCAGGCAGCAACAGAAGGCCTGGGAGCTCAGATAGGGACATGCGGGGGGGAGGGGAGGGGGTCGGAGGAGGAGGGGGAGTGGGAGGTGGTGGTATGGGGGCAGCTGGGAAGATAGGAGCAGAAGGGAGGGAGAGGAGGGAGGAGCGAGGAGAAGCGGTGGGGGGAAGGCAGGAGGGGGAGGGGAAGGAGAGGCGGAGGTCGCTGGAGGGAAGGGGGAATGGTGCCCCGGGGGAGAGGGGAGGGGAGAGGGCAGGGGAGAGGGCAGGGGAAAGGGGAGATTCTAGGGATGGGCGGGGAGGGGAGGGAGGGGGGAGAACAGGGCCGAAGAGGACCAACAGCTCTGATGCTCAGGGGGGTAGCAGTCAGGGCATGCAGGGATATCCGAGAGCAGGGGGCAATGAGGCGAGCCAAGAGGTGCAGAGAGGTGCGAAGGGCTTTTAGAAACGCTTGGAAAGAAGCACTAACACCTGGATGCGAGAGTAGTTTATCCTCTCTTGTTGTGTGCTTGCAACCATTTCACTGTCTTCCATTCCCTCTCTGCTCCTCTCATCTCCTCTCTTCCCACCTCCTCCCACCTCCCACCTCCTCCCACCTCCTCCCACCTCCTCCCACCTCCTCCTACCTCCTCCCACCACCTGTTCCCTACCTACTGCTGCCCTCCCCATATATGCCATCATGCCATGTGTGCAGCAGGTGCCCGGGCCACACAGTCTGCTGCAGGCATCGCCAGACAGGTGAGGACTCGGCAGGTGGGTTCTGGACAGGTGGGTTCTGGAGCAGTGAGGACTGGAGGGCGAGCGAAGACTGGAGGGCGGGTGTGGGACTAGATTGTAAGTGAGGACTGAGCAGGTGGATGGAGAGGAGTGGGTATTGGGCAGGTCAGGCCACATCAGTCTGATAGCACCAGCCGCTAGTCACAGTCATTATCACATGCTGTCCTCTCCTCTGTCCCCGTGCAGGGCTCCTGGGCCAAGCCAGCAGACGATTCAAAGCAGCAGCAGCAACAGCAGCAGCAGCAGCAACAGCAGCGTTCTTTACAGGAGCACAATAACTTACTTTCTCCAGTTCCCCACTCTCCCCGTGCAGGGATCCTGGGCCAAGCCAGCAGACGATTCAAAGCAGCAGCAGCAGCAGCAGCAGCAGCAACAGCAGCAAGGGAGGGGGGGAGCGGCAGCATCAGGAATAGCAGCTTCTACTGGTGCTGCTGGTGCTGCTGGTGCTGCTGGTGCTGTTAGTGCGGCCGGGGGAGGTGGGCCTGGTGCAGGTGGCACTCGCAAGGCTGCTGGGCTATCCGATGGGAGGCCTGGAGGGGGAGCAGGGGTGGCGCTACCTGGGGGCTCTGGTGCTGCTCCTGTGGCGGCTGTAGCGGCTGTAGCGGCAGAGAGGCAGAAAAGGGAAGGGGAGGAGGCGATGGGAAAAGGAGGGCCGCTTAAGGTGGGTGGTGGGTGGGTGGGTAGTGGGTGGGTGGTGGGTGGGTGGTGGGCGGGTGGGTGATGGTTGATGCCTGGAAGGACCGTGAGAGGGTGGATGGGTGGGTGATAGGTGATACGTGGAAAAAAAAGAGGGGGGGGGGGGGAAAGAGGAGGGAGAGGGGGGGGGAAGGAGGAGGGAAGGGGGGGGGGAGGAGGAGGGAGGGGGGGTGGGAAGGAGAAGGGAGGGGGGGGAAGGAGGAGGGAGGGGGGGGGGAAGGAGGAGGGAGGGGGGGGGGAAGGAGGAGGGAGGGGGGATGGGAAGGAGGAGGGAGGGGGGGTGGGAAGGAGGGATGGTGGCTGGGCATGTGGGAGAGAGGAAAGAAGAGCAACATTTCCCCTCTCCCGTGTGGTATCGTTTTGTGAAGTGACATGACATGCCATGCATGGCGGCGTTTCCTTTTCCCCCCTACTCGTCTCTCATAGACAGTGCCTTGCGACGGATGCCATATTTCGTTCTCCTCTCTCCTTTCTGTGCCCCCCCCACGCCTCTCTCCCCAATCACCCCCGCGTGGGCGCGTACAGGAGCGGGAGGCGTCGGCGCTGGAGCCCAAGGAAAGAGACGCTGATGCTGAGGTGTGGAGGAGTGGGGTATGCGGGTGTGAGAGGTCTGGCGGTGTGAGAGGTGTGGGGGATGTGAGGTGTGGGGGATGTGAGAGGTGTGGGGGATGTGAGGTGTGGGGGATGTGAGAGGTGTGGGGGATGTGAGATGTGTGGGGGGTGTGTGGGGGGTGTGAGAGGTGTGCAGTTGGATAGATGACAATTGCTGGCAGTGAGGGGTGTGAGCCGTGCGGCATGGGATTCGGCCCTAGCGGTCAGCAGCAACAGGAGAGCCGCCCAGAGCCCTCTCTTCCACCGTGTGACCGGCATACAGGACGATCAAGCACCCCACATTCGAGAGGCAGCAGCAGTCGCTCAAAGCTGCTGTGCATAGCTCGAGGAGGAGGCGCATAGCTCGGCACAAGGGGTGGAGTGCGACGCCTTAATGCTGCCACCCCCCGCACTCGCCTTCCAGCTCTCTGCCGCTTCCCCCTTGTTCACCGCAGGTTGATGAGGCGGCCTGCATAAGAGAGGCGGAAGCCGCAGCTCAATCAACGGAGGATCGCTCGGTATGATCCAGGATGATGAGGTGATCCGCATTCGTGAAGCAGCATCAGTGGCTCAACGGAGGATCGCTCGGTACGAGGCGGAGTGCGACGGGCGGCTGGCGAAGCCCAAGGCAGAGCGTAGAGTCTACTAGATCCTAGCTCTAACTCACTCCCATCTCTCTTCCCCTTCTCCCCCGCCCCTCACCTGCTGCAGGATGATGAAGTCCATTTTTTAGGCGCCTCAAGAATAGACGCCTGAAAAGCAGATCCTAAAAAACAGATCCTCAATAACAGATCTCTCTTTCCCTTCTCCCCTGCCCCTCACTTGCTGATCTCAGGACGATGAGGTGGTCCGCATTCGGGAATCAGCAGCGGCGGCGCAGAGGAGGATCGCGCGGTACGAGGCGGAGTGCGACGGGCGGCTAGCGAAGCTCAAGGCGGAGAGGGAGGCGCTGGTGAGGCGCAGAGAGGCGGAGATCACACGACTGGCTGAACAGCTGGGCACGGTGAGTTGACTCGTTCCAGGCTCCAGCAGTCTGTTGGGTGTGCTGGGTGAGCCCAAGGCACAGAGAGAGAGCCGCTGCTGCGCAGAGCTATGCTCACAGCATGGAAGGGTTTGCGCCCACCCTTGCCCCGATTTCGCTCCTCGGCCTTCTGCTCACAGTCTCGCATCCCTCTCTTCACCCCCTTTGACTTATCCCATTTGCATCACCTCCTTCTCCTACGCTTCCTTCCAACCAGCCGTTTGACGCTGGGGCCCTCACCCAGGCGCGCAGCGTGGCGGTGGACGAGGGGCGGGCGCTGATCACGCGGGAGCGCGACGCCGCAGTGGCAGCGGCAAAGGAGGAGGTGGAGCGGGAGAGGCAGCGCGCCATGGCGGTGCTCAGAGAGGAAGCTGCGGTGAAGGTGGCCCTCGAGAGGCGGCACCTGCAGGTGGATCCACAGGTGGTGGCGCTGGTCAACCTGGAGGAGGTCGCGCGGCAGCAGGAGTTTCTGAGCCGGTGGCGTGCGGCACTAGAGCAAGAGAATGTGAGTTGTCGGGATGGATGCAAGAGAGTAAGGGAGCATGAGGCACCTGCAGGTGGATCCCCAGGTGGTGGAGACGGTCGATCTAGTGGAGGTCGTGCGGCAGCAGGAGTTTCTGATCCGGTGGCGGGCCGCCTTGGAGCAAGAGAATGTGAGTCGCGTTTTCAGTCGCACACGGCAAGGCAATGTGGGTGCAGGCAGCTTAATAGAGAGAACGCGTGTCGGTTGCAGCCAGAAGCCCATGCGAACTCATGGTTTTTTTTCCTGCCGTCTTGTTCTTGCCTGTCCGTGTTCTGTCCGCATCCCCCTTTTATCTCTGCAAGCCCTTGCTCGCTGGAAGGCTGCAGCAACGGAGGAGGAGCAGTGGATTCTCGGGGAATCAGGCAGCGAAGCAGCAATCCTTACCCCTTTCCTCCCTCTCCCCCCTTGCCCTGCCCTTTCCCTGCCCTTCCCCTGCCCTTCCCCTGCCCTTCCCCTGCCCTTCCCCTGCCCTTCCCCTGCCCCTCTCCTGCCCCCAGCCTCAAGTCCTCGCTCGATGGAAGGCTGCAGCAACGCAGGAGGAGCAGCGCATGCTGGAGCTCGCGCGCAGGGAAGCAGCAAGCCTTCTCCTCCCCCTCTTCCTCCCTTCCCCCCAACCCCCCTCGACCACCTTCCCTCTCTCCCCCACCAGCCTCAAGTCCTTGCCCGATGGAAAGCAGCCGCAACAGAGGAGGAGCAGCGCATGCTGGAGCTTGCGCGCCGGGAAGCAGCGGCACGGGTGGAGCGAGTAGCAGAGCAGGAGGAGCGGTGGGAGAGAGAAGCCGCCCTGAAGCAGATCCGAGAGCGAGTGCGGGCGAAGCTGGGGGACGAGGAGAGGCGCATCTTGGCCCAGGAACGGGCGGAGATGGCGTCCCGGGTCGCCGAAGCTGTGGCGGAGGACCGGGAGAGGCTCGTGGAGGCTCGGAGGAAGGAGGTGCTGGATCGGGCGGAGAAGGAGGCGGGGGAGGAGGCGGAGAGGAGGAGGCAGGCGAAGCTGCTGGATGCATGGAGAAGAGTGGAGGCTGAGTTCGAAACGGTGCAAGATGAGGGGTGGGATAGTGTAGTGGAGAGGGCCAAGGGGTTGGCGGAGGAGGCAGGGATTGCCATTGTTGGAGAGAAGGGGAAGCTGCTTGAGATTGTCAGGTGGTCTTTGGAAGAAGAGCGCAAGGAGTTGAGTGAGCAGAGGGTGGCTGAGGTGGTGGAGGTCTTAAAGGAGGAAGAGAGGGAGCTTGTAGCGAGGATGAAGAAAGACAAGGGGGTGAATGGGGAGGTTGTGGCTGGGGATGGCGCGGGCGGTGCTGTGAGCGCTGCTTTGAAGGCTCGGGCTGAGGAGGAAGCTGCCGGGAAGCTGGAGAGGTTGAGAAAAGAGGCGGAGGAGAGAGTGAGAGAGCAGGTGCGAGGGGAGGAAGCGGCTCTGCTTGCGAGAAGGAGAGGTGAGATGGAGCAGAGGGCTGAGGCGTTGGGTAGAGGCGGGAAGGGTGCGGTGATACAGCTTGAGAAGGAGCTGTTGGAGGGGGAGTTGGGGGAGAAGATAGCGCTGATGAGGAAAGAGGCTGCAGAGAGGGAGGCACGGGAAAGGGAGAGGCTTAAAGCGAGTATGGAGAGGAGGATTGAAGAGGCGGTGGAGGGGGAGGAGAGGGCGATGGAGGGGATGGTGGAGGTGAGGAAGAAGGAAATGAGGGAGAGAGCGAGAAGGGCGGTGCAGGAGGAGGAGCGGAAGCTCATGGACGAGATGCGGGCGCAGGTTCGGAAGAAGGTGGAGGATAGGTTCGGCGCCGAGGCTGAGAGCTGGGCAGGTTCGGTGAGGGAGGATCTGATGGAGCAGGCTCGGAGGGAGGTGGAGGAGGTGGTGGAGGAGTGGAGGAGGAAGGAGTTGGATGGGGCCGGGGTGAAGGGGAGTGGGACGAAGGGCGGGAAGAGGGGAGGGCGGAAGGGCAAGGAGGGGGAGGGGGGAGAGGAGGAGGAGGATGAGGAAGAGGAGGGCGAATTGGAGGAGGAAAGGGAGATGAGAAGGCAAGAGATGATGGAGGAATTGGAGGAGGAGGTGGAGAGGGAGAAGCAGAGGAGGTGGGAGGAGATGGAGGAGGATCTCCTCGGCCAATGGGAGGCCAAGAAAGAGGAGCGGCTCGCTGAGCTGGCGCGGAAGGTGGGTGCTGACGTGGCGGAGGGATACGAGAAAATGCGGCGGGAGAAGGAGGAGGAGATAGAGCGGAAAATCTGGGAGCAGAAAGTAGCAGAGGTGGACGGGCAGATAGGAAAACTTTTGGAAGAGGAACGGGCAGTGCGACTCCAAGCTGCCCGGAAGGTGATGGATGCTTCACTGAGGAAGCAGATAGCGAGTGAGAGAGAGGAGAGCCTAGGGCAGATGAGGAAGGAGTGGGATGAGATGGAGCCAGAGCAGCAGGAGGAGTGGGCGGTGGAGCAGAGGGAGGAGAAGCGGCGTAGGATGGAAGACGAGATGAGGAGAAGCGTTGAGGTGGAGGTGGGGGAGTACAGAGAGAGGATGCTGGCTGCAGTGGCGGCTGAAGAGCGGGAGGTGCGGTCGAGGGAGAGGGAGAAGCGAGACGTGGTGCGGATCGAGAGGGAGTATAAGCGCCAGCGGCAAGAGATGGAGCTGCGGGCGTCGCATGCGCTGGAGGCGTTTAGGACGGATTTGAGCGTGCGGTTGGAGCGGGAGAAGCTGCGACTGAGGCGAGAAGCGAAGCACGCTTTAGAGAGGTATGAGATCGAGTTGGATATTAAGGTCGAGAAGAAGGTCGAGTCGATGCGAGTCGACCTGCAGATTAGGCTGGAGGCCATGCGGAGAGAAATGGAGGTCACGCTGAGGAAGAAGGTGGAAGAGGAGAGGGTGAGAAGGCTGGAGATACTTAGTAGAGAGTTGAAGGTGGAAGAGAGGGAGATGAGGCGCGGGTGGAGAGAGCTGATGGCTCAAGAGGAGGCTAAGGTGAGGAGGCAGTACGAGCAGAGGCGGAACTTGTTGAGTAATGCGTTGGATAGTGAGTCCAGTGGCGTGGAGGGGAGAGGAGGAGGGGGGATCGGAGGGGAGGATGGGAAGCAGCAGGGTCGGAGGGGCCCGAACCGCAACCCGCACCAGCAGGTTGGGTTCGGCGGGTTAGGTGCGGGCGGGGCGAGGGGGAGGGGAGGGGTGGGGATGGGAGGGGGGGGAGGGGGGATGTTTGGGGGAATGGGGAGTGGGATGGGGGGGATGGGGGGGATGGGGGGGATGGGGGGGATGGGGGGGATGAGGCTGATGGATGGGAGTGGGGGGAGTGGGGGGGGGTTCAGGCTTCTAGAAGTGGCGTCTGATAAAGCAGGTGCGAGTGGGGAGGGTATGGGAGGAAGAGGGGGAGCAGGAGGAGCGAGAGGGAGAGCTGGAGGAGGAGGAGGGATGGGAGGGATGGGAGGGGGAGGAGGTGGGGGGAATATGGATGGGTCGTGGTTGGATGAGCTTAGGAGCGGGGGAGAGTCGGATGTGAGTCTAAGCCATGGGTTGAGTGCAAGTAGGGAGTTTGAACCCGGTACGAGTGAGGGTAGGGAGAGGAGAGCCAGAGGGAAGGGAGTGGGGAGGGGAGAGGAGGCAGGGGAACGGGAAGAGGAGGAGGAGGAAGAGGAGGAAGAGGAGGAAGAGGAAGGGGGGGAGGGGGGGGGTTGGACTTAGGGCAAGGTCGGGGGGGGATGGTGGAGGAGGGAGAGTCTTTGTCGGAAGAGCCTGAGCCACAGGAGGGGCAGACAGATCGGCAGCAGCAGGAGAGACTCAATGCTGCAGGGGCATCAGCAGCAGCAGCAGGCTCGTCAGCAGCAGCAGCAGGGGCAGCAGCAGGGGCAGCAGGGGCAGCAGGGGCAGCAGCAGCGGGCGGTGATGTAAATGCGGCTGCACTGGGCGAGCTGCTCAGCACGGAACCGGACCGGTCGGACGAGGCAGATAGCAAGAAGGACGTGGACGCCCTGCCCCCGGATGCCACAGGGGGCGGCGCCGTGGCGTGGGGAGATAGAGGGGAGCGTGGAGAGAGGGGCGAGATAGCGGGAGATGGGGCAAACGGGGTGGATGTAGGGGGGAAAGCGGCTGCTGTCGGTCCGGGGAGAGATGGAGGGGGAGGGGGAGGGGGCAAGGCAGCAGCCGAAGCATCTGGATCAACAGGAGCAGCAGGAGGAGGGGGCGGAGGGGGAGCGGAGGGGCAAGGGGGAGCAGGCGCTGCAGGGTTGCAGCCCTTAGGGTCGCCTGACGATTCGGGCAGCAATTTCGGGGAAAGTTCCTCGGAGCTCCCGAGGCTGGCGTTGGGGGGAGGGGGCGCGGAAGGGGAGGGGGGGGGGCTGGCGGGGGACTGGATGGGGCGGGGGTGGGCAAAGCCGGGGCAGCGGCGGTCGAGGAACCGGAACAGCCAGAAGCCGCGGCAGCCGAATGACGTGGCGGATTACTACTCTGAATGGAGCGAGTCGGGGTCGGACCTGGTGAGTCTGGTTAATGCATGAGCTTGCTCGGTGTGCGGTTTGCTGGGTTGTGGATGGCTCTTCTCACCTCCCCTCGCCTCCCCTCGCCTCCCCTGACCTCCCCTGACCTCCTCTCACCTCCCCTGACCTCCCCTGACCTCCTCTCACCTCCTCTCACCTCCTCTCACCTTCTCTCACCTCCTCCAACCGTTCCTTTTAACCCCCCATTGCGGCAGGAGCTGGTGGATCGGGAGTTGAGGCCAGGCGGGGGCAGGAAGGGGATGGACAACGGAGACGAGTTGTTCGATGAGGAAGGCGTGCCCTTCAGGTGAGGCTTTAGGTGCCTTCAGGTGAGGCTTCCAGTGCCTTCTGGTGAGGCGTCAGGTGCCTTCTGGTGAGGCTTCAGGTGCCTTCTGGTGAGGCTTCAGGTGCCTTCTGGTGAGGCTTCCGGTGCCTTCTGGTGAGGCTTCAGGTGCCTTCAGGTGGGTCTTGAGGTGCCGATTAGGAGTTAATGAAATCAGAGTGAATAATATTTGATGTCATCACATATGATTTCTGAAATAATATCATCTTAAAGAGTAATCATATTATTGCTGATTCATCTTTTCCTTCTGCCCTTCCCCAATCAGTGAGCGAACCTCAATGGTGGAACAGTCGAAGCTGTTTGCAGCAGAGCAGCAGAAATACCTGAAGGAAAGGCAAGCCGTGATCGAAGCCGCCCGGCAGGACTGGCAGCGGCAGATGGCGGAGGGGAAGGATGCACTGCCTGCCGTTTCCCTTGCCTTGTCTCTCATTCCCCCCCCTCCCTTCTCCCTGTCTTGCCATTCCCCTCCCCTCCCCAGCGAACGAGCGTCAATGGTGGAACAAGCAAAGCTGTTTGCAGCAGTACCTCAAGGAAAGGCAGGCCGTGATCGAAGCCGCCCGGCAGGACTGGCAGCGGCAGATGGCGGCTGCCCAGGAGGTGTCGGACGAGGACGACGGGAGAAGTGGTGCGGACTGCCAGCCCTTTCCCCAGTGTGTCACTCATCTTGCCCGTCCCTTCTCCCCTTCCCCTCTCTTCTCCCCTCCTCCCTCGTCCCCCCGGCCCTGGCCTCCCCAATCAGCGAACGAGCATCAATGGTAGAACAGGCGAAGCTCTTTGCAGCGGAGCAGCAGAAATACCTCAAGGAAAGGCAAGCCGTGATCGAAGCCGCCCGGCAGGACTGGCAGCGGCAGATGGCGGCCGCCCAGGAGGTGTCGGACGAGGACGACCGGCGCCGGCGGATCCAGCACCTTACAGACCTTAAAGCCACACTGGACCAGCATGTGAGGGAGCTGAACGACGATGCGAGGCATGTCAGCCAGCTCAAGAAGAATCTGTTAAGTTTCTCGAGGAATGGTGCGAATAGTGGGGCAGGGAGTGGTCCTGGGGCCGGGAGCGGTGGTGGGAGCGGGGATTTTGGGAGAGGAGGGGGGAGAGGAGGGAGGGGGGAGGGGGGAGGAGGGAGGGCGGGGGAGGAGGTGGGGGAGAGGAGGAGCGGGAGGGAGAGGGGAGGGAGCGGTGGGGATTCCGCCAGGTGGCGGCGTGCGATTGGACCAGAATGGGCCGCTGATGAATTTTCCGCCTGACGCTATCATGTCCCGAGCCTCATCGTTTGCCTCGGCAAGCATGGGTCGGGAGAGCTTCGACATAGATGAGATGATGGGGGGTTTAGGGTTGGAAGGGCCCTGGTCCAGACCTAGCCCCCGAAGCGGCCTCGGAGGCACAGGAGACATGATGGGAGGGCTGGGAGGAGGATCGGGAGGGGGAGGAGGGGGGGCAGGCACGAGAGGAGGAGGAATGGGGGGTGGGTTGGGAGGGGGGGGGGTGGGATGGGTATGAGGGGCGGTAGTGGTGGTGGCAGCAGCAGCATGGGAGGAAGGGGATATGGTGGGGGCATGGGAGGGGGCATGGGCCGAGGAGGCGCCCTAGGAGGGGCAGGGCTAGGGGGGGGGTTAGGGGGGGGATTAGGAGGAGGGATGGGGGGCAGGGACTCGTGGTTTGATGAAGTGTACGGGTCGAGTTCAGCCGTCACGTCTCCCACTCTCTCCCCTCCTGGTGCCGCCACGAGAAGCATTTTCCAGGGGGAGTTTGACCTGGGAGAGGGGAGCGCAGGAGGGGGGAGCGGAGGGGGGAGGATGGGTGGAGCAGGGATGGGGGGAGGGGGAATGGGGATCGGGGGAGGTGGTGGGAGGAGAGGAGGGGGGATGGAGGAGGGAGGGGCGAGGAGGGGCGGGGGTGGCGTTGGGGGGGGGATGGAGATGGATGGAGGAGGGGGGGAGTTCAAGTTTGGGAATTTGATGCCCGGCGCTCAAGCCCAGCCCGACCCCTTGTGAGTTTCTTGATTTTCCAGCTTTTGTGATTTTCCAGCTCTGATTGGCAGTCTAGCGCTTGTTTCTTGTTGTGTCCTGTGGGATGTTGGCATCTCATCTCTCTGAATCGCTCTGATAGCTCTGACTAGGGACCATGGCACTGTCCTCTCAGTCATCTCCCTTCCATCATCTCCCTTCCATCATCTCCCTTCCATCATCCCCCTTCCATGATCTCCCTTCCATCATCTCCCTTCCATCATCCCCCTTCCATCATCTCCCTTCCATCATCTCCCTTCCATCATCTCCCTTCCATCATCTCCCTTCCATCATCTCCCTTCCATCATCTCCCTTCCATCATCTCCCTTCCATCATCTCCCTTCCATCATCTCCCTTCCATCATCTCCCTGATGCACGAGTCACTAATGTGCCACGACACCACCCCGCGCCCAATACCACCCTGTGCCCGACACCACCCTGCGTCCACCCCTCTCCCCCTCCTCCAGGCGCAGGAGTAGTGAAGCAGCTCGAGTAGCAGGCAGCGGCAGCAGCTGCGGTGTTATGCAACTCGTTTTCACACTCAACCTTTCTCTCCGTGCCCACGCCTCTCCCCGGCCTCTAGGCGCAGGAATAGGGAAGCAGCTCGAGCAGCATGCAGCGGCAGCAGCTGAGGTGTTTGCCAACTCGTTTTCACACCTCCCCCTTCCCCCCGTTCCCATCCCCTCTCCCCTCCAGGCGCAGGAATAGGGAAGCTGCTCGAACAGCGGGCAGCGGCAGCGGTGGCGGTGGCGGCGGCGCCGGCGCCGGCGGTGGCGGTGCTGGTGGTGGCAGTCTGTTTTCTCTTGATGACTCACCCACAGCTAGAGACATGGAGGGACGGGCTGAGGGGAGGGGTGAAGGAAGGGTGGAGGGAAATGGAGGGAAGAGGGGGGAGAGGGAGAGGGAGATGGAGGGGAGAGGGGGTAGGGAAATGGAGGGAAGAGGGGGGAGGGAGATGGAGGGGCGAGGGGGAAGGGAGGGGGGTGGGAGAGCAACGGCGGCGGCGCATCGGCTGTCCAAGCTGCAGGACGAGTCGGGTGTTGGGAGCGGCAGCGGCAGGGAGCAGGTGAGCAGTGCACCGTGTGTGTGCGACAGTGCATTATAGTGCTGTGCGGTGTGGTATGGAACAGAGGGGGAAGGGAGGGGGGTGGGAGAGCAACGGCGGCGGCGCATCGGCTGTCCAAGCTCCAGGACGAATCGGGTGTTGGGAGCGGCAGCGGCAGGGAGCAGGTGAGCCGTGCTGCGTGGTACAGTTCTTTTCATCGCGGCGCAGTAAGGTATGGAGTAGAATGGAGGAGTGGAAGGCAAGGAATATTCGGGGTGAGAGTGAAACAGTGTGCGGTTCTGCAGCCCACTGCCCCCAGCTCGTCCCCTCCCTTCATCCTGACTTATCCTCCAATTCATCTTAAATCCATGTGCCCTTTGGCATGCCCCCCCTCCCCCTCCCCCCACCCCCGCATCCCTCTCGTCCTCCCCGATTGCTTCCAGGCGTCTCGCCAGCGAGGAGCTGCCATGGGGTCAAACCAGCATCAGCAGCAGGGCCGCCGCTCCTCCATCGACATCTGAGCTGAGCTCCCAGACTCGTCATGTCTTGATCTAACACCAACACTCGGGTACCTTTTTAGCAAGGTCTTCAAAGAATGCGGACGGGAACACCGTTTTTGCAACCCGGTTTCTGCATGGCGATTATTTCGTTCGTTCACCTGTATGGCATTGCTGGCCAACGTAACCAGCAGTGGCTTCTAATTATGAATGTCAAGTATGCTTCGAAACGGTTGGGGGGATGGCTAAAGTCTCTTGTGTGTTAGTGCTTTTGTTTCTCCATATTATATGATGCTTGAGTAAAATGTTACTCCCTTTTGTCTCACTTTTTGCTCGTGTAAACCAACTTTTCACCCTTTATCAATACTGCTGCTGCTTGTGCTGTGATCGTTTTGGCATTTTGGCTTCTACATGAGCCAATCAAGCAACGGGCGCGGGCGCTGCGAAATGGTACTGTCACCACAAGCTTTCGCGGGCTTTCGAGAATCAGCACCTTTGTCCAGCACAGCCTAGCCTTCGCCTTCGCAGCTCGCGAAGTCGTTGTCGCCATCAAAGCACCCGCAGCCAATTGCAAATTCTGCTCGCATGCGCGCTTCGCATTCGCGATTCGGCAAACAAAATTCATCTCAAAAGGCGCGCACAGCCATCCATCACGTCATCAATTTCAAGTGGGAAATTGCGCCTTCTGACGAGGTCACCGCACATTCTGACGACATGACATCAAAACCAAAACTCATCCAAGTTCTGCTCCAACAATCCACGCAAGCTTGTAAAAATCTGCCTAGCTCATGGCATAGACCTCAACTCATTCAGAATCACTCCTGCACACGCATTCCATTTGCACAATATCTCTTCCTTTCTCCTCCGATTGCTCCCCGAAACTCCCTTTTTACAAAGCATCTTCGGCTATGGCAACCACACCTCTCACCCCGTCTGCCTTTCTCGGACTGCAGCTTACCGCCAGACTCCCCACAGCATGTGACTCGACGGCGGACAGCAATTTGCCAGGCAGCGCTGCTGCTAGGCCCGCCGGCACGACGACGATGGCGGTGATGGGACCCTCGTGGCCGCATTCCGATTCGTCGTTCGACTCGTCGCAGCACTGGCTGGCGAATCCTAGCGACTCGCAGAACATACCCCCGACGACGCCCGATTTCCATCGCCCGCATCGGTCGCTCGCCTCCCCGCCTAACGCGGTCAGCGCCCCTGCTGAAACTTACGCTGACGTGGCAGCGGATTCTCTTCGAACAGGCCGGCTCCTAAGGATTCCGCCAGTCGCGCCGCAGCGCACGCTTCCCGGATTAATCATCACTCCTAAGAAGGCGAATAAGAAGGCTTTGGTTCACCGCAGCCCGGATGGGTCGGTCCCAGTGCAGATTAACGCGGGAAAGGCGCCGGTTTTCACGGCGGAGAAAGCGCGTAAGCTGCGGGAGATGCTGAGAGAATCGGAGACGCACCACGACACGATGTACCACTCGGGCATCGCCTCCCGACTAGCGCAATAGTATTGAGTCACGTCGGATTGAGTCGCGAAGATGCGATAGCCAATCTTGATCTCGAGACGGGATTCCAGCACAGCGGTCCCATTCGCCACACCTGAGTAGCCTTTGTGAACGTTGGATTTCCACTTCAAGCCTGCTCGTTCGCCGAGGCCCCATGGCGTTCACGTGCCCAGGCGCAATTCAACGAACCTAGGCAGTTACTGTCGCGAATGTGGTGGTTCATCTAGGGGGGTGTTATCCAAATCCTTGGCGCCGGGCGTTTTCCACCTCCCAACGCGGTTTGGGGTTTATCCTTTATTTCCAGCTGAAACCCCCACAATTTTGTACTTTCTATTAGTGTGCGACGTATTTTGTTCTGTTTACTGATACACTGATACACCTATGTAGGCGTCTAATACACTTTATCATTTTCACTTTATCGGGGCTGCTTGTACAATACCCAATCCGAAGCATCAGCAGAAAGCTCGCACACCCGACATTTCCAGTGAAGGCGCGTTCACCCCAGCAGGGCAATTTGCCACCTCACACTCCCCTCGAACATCCTCCCAGCCTCGGAGTCCCAGGCTCCCCATGCCAACGCATCCCCTCCCCGCGCACGTCACAAACCAACTTCTCTGCTGCGCATCCCGCTCTCCCCGCTCACCAATCCGTCATATCCGTCCGTCCATTAGCCGGCGGCAAACTTCCCCGCCCTCCACTATCCTTTCCTCCACAACTTCGCGCCACGCCCAAGGGGGGAATGCCCGGATGGTGGTTGAATTGAAAAGCCGGCGCAAGCAGCATAGGCCAGAAGCTTTGGTTGGTTGGTGCAAGCTCAAAAGCCGGCGCAACCAAAGCTTCTGAGCTTCTTCCCCAGCGCAGCTCAGCTCAGCTCGCTTTCCGTCGGACGATATTCGCTCAGCTGAACGAGATCCACGAGCTGCGCGAGATAAACCGACGACGAGCGAACAGCTAATTCGCCGTCGCCGGTTTCGCCAACCCTAATTTCTTCAGGCAGGTCATCTCGTGCGATTCGTTTCACCGTCAGCCATGGAGGCGATTGCGCAAGACGCGGCGTCGGTCGCGGCGAGGAGTGCGGCTCCATCCATGCCGCCTTCTACAGGGTCAGAGTCCCTTTCCTTCTGTGTTTAAGGAGTTAAAATCCACGCTGACATGAGGCGGCACCTTCTCCCTCAACGAGTCCTTTTACGTCCTCTACATCCTTGACGAGTCACACATAAAAACGGCGCTTCTGAGTGTGACTCGTGAGGGGCGAGGCCATTTTAAAATCCGCTTTTCTGTTTCGTTCCATCATGATCGCAGGGGTGAGGCCATTCAGCCCGCGCGGCGGTTCTCCAAGGCGCCTGACTTCTGGCTTCTCACGCCCATCCTCTACGCGCCTGCCTTCCCCCTAAGTACGCCACTTAGCCCTCCTACCTTTTCTTCCAGTCCCATTCTCTTCTGCATTCTCATTCCCTTCCCTTACGTTCTTCATTCCTCATCCGCCTCACTCATTGTCCTCGTCAACCCCCCAACCCGCTTTTCCTTTCCGCTTTCCTACTATTTCTCCCTGCCCTCCTTTCTGTGCGGACTCCCTCTTCTTCCCGTCGTGTTCCCATGCCCCTGCATCCCCCCTGTTGATCCCTCCTGCTCTCGCCCTGCTGCAGTTCGCATCACTTTGCGCCACAGACCAAAGCTGAGAGACCGTCTCTTTGTCACGGCTGTAGCCAGTGCCTTCCTGCACGGAGCTTACATGAAGTGAGTGGCAGTGCACTGGTGCTGCTGGTGTTGGCTGGTGTTGGCTGGTGTTGTCTGGTGTGAAAGCATGCTGAGGTGAACCGGCGTTTTTTGGCTGCTGCTAGCGCGTGCTATGGTCACATGGTGTCTCATTGATTACTGTGCTTACCATTCACTTGTGTCCTCTCCATCCTTGCCATTGTTTGTGCCCTACCTTTTCCCTTCAGCTACCGCTTCTACAACGCAGAGAGCTACCAGCAATCACAAAGAGAAGTTTCGTAAGGGGGAAGATATGAGTTGTAGTTGATGTACAAATTTACACAGAAAACCTTATGCTTGTTCTACAAACATTCAAATTTATTATCCCGTGTACCTAGAGCACCCTGTATGCAACTTCATGGTCGGAAGAGGGGATGCGACTAGTGCACTGTAGCGGGCTACGTCAGAACTACCAGCGAGTGGAGTGGTTCCCGTTGTAAGAACCGGCAACTGGGAAACCCTTCGAATCGAAACTGCTGCCAAAGTCACAAAAGCTGTTGCAGCGGCTCCAGTTCGTAGGATTCCCCAAAGCTCTCTCGTTACAATCACTCCTCATCTCACCCTCCATCTCGCTCACGAAATTCCACCACCCTTCCACGTCCACCCCCGTCGTCCTCGTCGATTGGGTCACCCCCGTTTCAGTCAACATTTCGCGTTCCATCGCGGCCCCCGCCCCTTCCGCTTCTCGCCCCTCTTCCCCAAGTAATAATATTTCACGTCGCATTTCCTCCTCCGCCATTTCCGCAATCTCAGCAGCAACTGCATTCCTCCCTTCCTGAATCCCGCCTCTCCATTCCTCAACGAACCCTGCCGTTCGTCCACGTGGCTCAAATGATCTCGAATCGCGCGCATTCTCCGTCGGTCTCCCAGTCTCTGACTGTCCTTGCAATCCTCCGTCATTGAAGTTCATGGCATCCGCATCATGCAGAGTATGATATTCTTGCGAGTCTTCAGTTGCTTCCATCCAGAGCTGCCCCCCAAAAATCTCTTCAGCGATCGACAGAATCTCCTCAGAGGGCAAAGCTTTCAAGGCCGAACCGCGGCGCTTGGAGCGGGGGGCCCGGGTGACGTGAATGCTGACGTCGGCATCCGCCGCCAACGCGCGCAGTTCTCTCAGCGCAACGACCCCCGCAGCGGAACCCATGATGTTTCTCACGGATTATGAGAGCTTTGAAATTCTCGGTCTCCTTGGCACGTAGTATCTCGGGGACGTCTTCGTCGTTGCCTTAAACGCTCAAGAAACGAGGGAGTGAAGTGTCGAAGCGAACTGAGCCTTTCAAAGCAAACTTTGAATGTCTACTCCAACGTGTATGTCGGCTTGAAGCCGCATTCGCTGTACAGGGTGTACGGCCGAGTCGATAAGGCTGTTCCAAAATCTTGGGAAAGGACGGTTGCTGCCGAAACGGACAGGCCGAAAGAGCGGAAAGCGAACTGAGTGTCCAAACAAGATGCACTACTGCGGCGGGCCCTGATTCGCTCGGAAGAAAATCCGATGCCGTTTTCCCGCTGCAGCGGCGACAGCAGGGGAGTGGATGTCGCGGGGTTGCTTGAAGGTAAAGGAACCGAAGACGCGGAAACGCAGGTGCGGCAAATCCGCTTAGGATAAGAGTTGGTCCTGTCTGACAAGGGTTGCGCTAGCGGTTGTAATACATGCAGCGGAGCTGCACCCGAGCGACACTTGGACGCCACGGCGATGGTCTGATCTGATGGACTGATGCGCTTGCAGGGCTCATGCATCTCTTGGTGTCGCTGCTGCTTGTGAGTTCGGGTGATTTTTGAGTCGACTCAAAATTCACTTGTGCATCTCTTTGGTGTCGCTGCTGCTTGTGAGTTCGGTGGTGATGCTTGCTCTGCTAAATGGCGAGAGTTTGTTCTATGTGTAATTTGAGAAATCTCAAATATTTCTGCCAAGCAGCTGGTGCTGACTAGACACTCCTGCTTCGTCGGCGACGCCGCGACAATCAGCAGATGATTCCAGATGACAGAAAGATATGCTGATTTTTCACACGGGATGATGTGAATGAACGAAATGCGGGAATGGAGAAAACGGGTCATGATGACCTGTTGAAGTGACTTACAACATGACATGACATCACCACCATGATAAGAAGATTCTTGTGGTGGCCCGCCCGCACACCCAGCAGAAGGACGCAGGGGATCCGAAGAGTCAAGCAGCCACTCTATTGGGCAAGCGCCCCCCCAATCTTGTGGCGACGAGGCGAAGCGCGTCCCTAATGGTGAGGCTAACAGGTGTCCTGCCATCCGTGCTGCTGCGCTACTGCCCTTAGTGCCACACATTTGTTCCGCCATGTGTGGTGTGGTGTGGAGTGGAGAAGAGCAGGCAGCTGGTGAAGGCGATCAACTTCAGCACAATTGACCAGAACGCCGCACGACGTGGAGTGTACAGTGTAGTGCATATCATTCTTGAAGGTGACAACAACCACAAGCAGCATTGCCGGTGCAGCATGCGTAGTGCAATTTGACAGAGCGACAACCGAGTGGGTGGTGGAAGAAGGCACCCTTACTTCACAAACTGCAGCTGCTTGCACCTCCCCCCAGAATGGAGTGGAAGGGGGGCTTGAAGTTCGGAAGAGGAGGTTGGGGAGGGGAGGGAGGGGGAAGAAATGTGAGAAGAGAACTGCCCATGAACACGGAAATCAGTGAAGCTGCACACAAAAAAAGGCTATCTTAGTTGGACGACATTTCTGGCGTATAAAGCTTTGTAAGCCGCTAAGATGTGTTAGTCTTAGCTAAAACCATCGGTACATGTTTGTAAGAAATTTCAACCTGGCACTTTTCGATGGCATGCCTCAACCGTTTGACCTGGAGCCTCCCTTGGGAGATCCATCAGGCGCAAAAACTGAGGGCCGCCAATCATATTCACCCACAATCAAAATGCAAACTTATTCCAACCAATCAAACGTCGTTCCAAATTTGTATGGGGGGAACGAGTCACGACAGCCAATCGGCAAACGATGATCCAAGGGCTCACCCTGGAAAAGGCAACTGTACTGCCTGCTGGGGAGATCATCCGAACTCTCAGGCCAGGAAGGAGGATACACCTATCCCGCGCCATTTTCTAAAATCACTGTATGTTGTCTTTAGAGGGACTGTAGCTTGTCGTTAGTGGAAGGGTGAGGAGTTAGCGCCAGCCAGGCAATTGGCGCTAATTTCACGAAAAGGCATGAGCTCGAAACTCTCGGTGACCTGGCGAGCGCCAAGAAGCTGATAACACGGCATCACCATGGATATGGATGGTTTGTCGCTGGTCACAAAACATGAGCAATAGGTGGTCCATCGACAATCCAGAATTATCCGCATCCGCATGGCTTCTCATCTGACTCATTTTCACCCTTGCTTGTGGTGCTCTTCGGGCTCTGATGGGAGGAGATTCTACGATGAGGTCAGCTAATTGCTGACTTGGCGAGCTGTAACTCAAATTTACGTAAAGTTCTAATATTCATACGCGTCAACTTTGGGCGGCAGCTGGCAGGTGATCCAAGAAGGCGACAAAACCTGAGAATTTGCTGGGTGAGAAGTTGGTGCGGGATAGGTGTACAAGGAATCCATGAACCGTCATAGGATAAGTACGTGAGCACTTTATGCATAACGTAAACACAAATTGTAGGGGGAAATGCATTGATAGAGTACTAGTTGCTACGCATGTGCATGAAATCAACGGGTTTCTTGCGAAAGAAAGAAGAATGATGTTGAAGTATAGTAGATACAATTTACTTATGCAATTTATGATATAATAATTAGATTGTACTAGTAGCGCGATACCTCATATGGAAGACCGCGAGCGATGACGTCGGCATTAGCGAGTCAACGTGTGAACAGTAGGTTCGCGCGTATAGTCATCCGAAGGGTCATGCCACTCTCATTCACACGAACAGTCACTAGTTATGCCACACGAATACTCGCGATACATTATGAACATGTACATTTCTAATAAGTACTTCCTAGACTTTAAATATGCATGTATTACTGATTATTATTATCCTTGTCATTTTGGATAATTCCAATATAAAGTCTAAAGTATTCCGCTAACTTTTACTCATGATTCGTCCAACTCTAGATCATGGCCACCCTAAACACGTGGTTAAGTTTTACATTGTATTCTGAGCTAGTCGAGTTAAAGGAAGCAAGACAAGCTGATTTTGATTACGCCCTTAAGCCTAAGTATGAGATTCTGAGGATTAAAAAACATAGAATTCTGAAGGGTTCATCATTCAGAAAATGACAAGTCTGAAAAATCAGGATTGGCCAAAAGGTTGGTCTGAAATTTCCGACAATCAGATTAAAATAGTATGATAAAATCAGCCCTGATGTGGTTCAATTTTACAAATGAAAGTATATTTCAATTTTTCTGGTCAGGATGTATGGTTTGTTGCAATTGTATGTCCCTCCCCTTTTTGTAATGCAGTCACTAAAGCATGGCAAGACACTAGATTGCTGGTTGGCTAGAATGAAACACTAAATGCACTTTTCTTTCAATTGCCATAAAGAAATTTACAAACTTGAGTCTTCCTAAGTTGGTGGTATCATTCCATAGTGAGGTCTCCATTAGTGGATCCGTAAACAGGTTCAAACACTGAACCTGTTCTGTAGCAGGCAGTAGGGAAAGCATCATTTCCAGAATGGTTGAAGCTGCTCCCGTTGTTAGAACTCGCCAGCATTGAGCCCTTCTGCTCGAAACTGCTGCTGAGGCTGGTGAAGCTGCTGAAGCAGCTTGAATTGGGAAGACTACCACAATCACTCTGGCTACAGCCAATTCGCATCTCACTCTCCATCTCGCCCACGAGATCCCACCATCCATCTACGTCGTTGATCGCTCTCACATCAACGGCAGATTCGCCGTCCACTCTGCCCCCCGTCTCCCCAGTTTGTACCCTAAACCCGCCAACCCCAACTACTGATTCACTGCGCCTTGCCTCGTTTGTCAATTCCGCTGATTCCGCCGCCGGATTCCTTAGCAGTTCAGCCCTTCTTCCCGAAAGCCCACCTCTCCGTGCCCGCATGCCTTCTGATCTTCCGCCACGCCGCTCGAGCGCTCCCAGGTTGCGCACTCCCTCCGTTAAGCTGCCAGCAGGGCCTCCGTTAATAGTAGTAGTCGCGCTTCCCCGATAATATCCCCCAGACGAATTTGTTGTAAGCTGCTGTCCGAATAGCTGTTCAGCGATCGCCAGAATCTCCGTAGAGGCGGAATCCCGAAGCTGCCCGTGGGATGCGGCAGCTTCTCCGGCGGCGCTGGCAGGCGCGAGGCCGTTGGAAGCGAGAACCACGTCGCCGTTAGTTGTAGCTCGGCGCGCAGTGCGAGCAGCGCGAGCCACACTTCCGGGAAGCACGCTGTCGACAGAAGCTGAGGTCGGTAGTACCGAGGTCGGTAGTACTGAGGCCGGTAGTACTCTGGGTGGCACGAGAGGTACACTCGTGGCAGAGCGATGAACGCGGCGAACTCGGCGGGGCCTGGTGAGATGGTTGATGCTGACGTCGGCATCGCCAGGGGCCGAAACACTGCCGGCGGAAGGCGCGGGCGAAGAAGGTCGATCGACTCGCACAGTAGCCATCCCGCTGCTCCTAGTATGTATTATCTGTTCCACGTTTCCAGACAAGAAATGCCGACACTATTGGATGCCTGCGGACAATTTTTGCACTGCGATGGGTAGATTCTTTCGTAGGAGAAGTCCGCGGAGCTGCAGACTCAAGAGGAGGATTGCCCGTGCCGACTCTACTATGCTCTTTGGCAATAACTGGGATCCTAGGCGTGTTGATTTGCAACGAACGATTCGGAGAGTCTAGGATGGGATCGCAAGGCACAGCAAAATAGTACCCCGCTCTTTGTATGCACGGTCAGGGGTACAGTGTGGCTGTTCTTCCCCTCTCGCTGTCGCGCTAGGGGGAGAACCTAGGGTCGGGCCTCGAGCTTCTTTGAAAGAGTCGGACAGAGCTGGATGCTCAAAGGACGGAGAGGCGATCTAAGATTCTGATTAACTATCATGAAGGACGAGAATGGATGTACAGTATGTAGTACCGGCCGCCGTGGGCTCTGGGGAACTCGCAGGAAGCACATATCTTCCGCATCTTGGTTTATACGCTCGTGGCTTCCACATTGCTGCTGCTGTTCCGCCGCCTCGCCGGGGAAAGCCGAGATCACAGAGCGCGACTCCGCTGCTGCCATCTAGGCTGGAGGCGCCGGATGCTTGCGGGCTGGGCTGGGATTTCCGGTCCCACTTGTGGCGCAAGTGGCTTGGGGGATGACGTGGGTGGGTGAGAGTTCGCGGCGACATGGAGAGTTCTCAAGCTTTGAGGTGGCTTCCTGAATCTGCAGTGCTGCTGTTGCTGCCGCACATGGCGTGATCATTTGAGAGAGCACACGCCCCGTAGTGCGGCCGGAGTTCTGTTGCCCTGTCGCCGCTGAATCGAGGATCACGTGACATCCGCTAATGGGGGAGACTCTCGCCATAATCACGAAGATTTGTCCCAATCGTGGGAGCGTGATGAAGAAGGCGGAATAGGGCATTCGTGGGTCGTGCAGAAAGGGCAAGGATGTGGGAAAGGGAAGCCCCAGCACGCGTTGCGTAATTTGCGGCTGGATCGTGGCGCTTATTCCACGTCGTCAAGGCAAAGGGGATGCCATGCCATTCTAGGGAGAGACTAGACAGGGGACAGATAGTGGCAGGCAGAAGTGAAGCTGCTGGACGCGTCTACTTGTGGAGGGCGGTTTCTTTCCCCTACAACATGAGAAATCCATTTGGGTGTCGGAGGTTTCCCCTCGGAAAAACCCCTCTACAGTACTCGATATGTGAAGAACCTGGCAGATGTCTGAGAGAACATCTACGATGTGAACAGAAACAGCTTACACTTAGCGGATATCCCAACCGCAAACATCTACTTCGAGTTGAGACACGAGAGACGCGCATGCACCAGAGGGAAAATATTTTCTTCCATTGCAACGCTATCCATGTGGAACACTGTATCTTCGTTCAACATTTCATATTTTGCTGGAGTACCTCCTAGATTGGGGAAACACCAAAACAAAGCGACATAACCTCACTTGAAGGCTGCTTGACCCAGCCTGGAGGGACATTACAAACCAATCGGGAAGCGCCGAAGCTAAAAACCAGCAATTTTGACTGCCCTTTGCGCGAAATCATTCGTCGATATATTGGATGAAACCCAACAGCTACCGTCTGATTGGCTTTTGTTTTATGACTTGTCCGCAGAGAAACCAATTGAAAATCACCTTTCGACATCAGTTGGCCAACCGCTAAGGACCAAGCGTGACCCCTGCCTTCAGCGATGGCGAGTGGCCCACTGTGAGTTGCTTGATTGGTCCGCGAATATTTACCTGTGATGAAGGGTACTGTCCGTTTTATTTGAAACTAATACGTCCAATAAGTAAAATAAGGATGCGTGGCAACTTCTCGTTCATATAAATCTCCATTTCACAAAAGTGTGAATTTGACTAGTATGCACCAGACGCCCTTTCCCTGATACAACTGCCACGAGTCATTCTTTTATGCCAACCTCTTATTACCCATATGGCAGCCATGTCCTTCACCTACGTATTTGTCCACACATTTCAAATATATAACCTCATCCACACGCTAACCACTTTTCTGCAACTTAGATACCCATGAGCATTGGGGTCCTAATGAGCAATCGGTTACTCTCATGAATAGAACAATTGGAAAAGAGCAATAAATACATCCACGACCATCTTATCACAATAGAAACTTGGTGCACAGATGGCTGTTGGAATATGAGCACCCCATTTCCCATCTCAACACTCCCTCGCGCCTCTGAGCCGAGGTTCTGTCCTCCAACAGGATGTATCCTAGGTTCGCGACAGAAGGGAGTAAGTAACACAGCACATCCAGTAGAGTGCAGCTGCTCCCTCAGTCGGCACCATAACAGTTGCATGGGAAGCAGCTTGAAAGGGGTACCTTAGCACCCCAGCCTGGCTCTCTCCAATGCATCGAAATTGAGCCTCGATTCTGTACACCTCGACTATTATCCTTCGTCTTCAGATTTACGTAAGACCCATTACAACGGTTGCCGCGCGTCTTTCTTGGTAGGGTTGGACGAGTGCTCCCAATACTCCACACCAGCAGCAGCTAGTAGAGCAGCTAGTGTGAACGCCTGAGCGTGCAACCTGCGGGGATACGGAAAGCAAAAGATGGCGGAAAATTTTAAGTAAAATTTTATGAGGTATCTGAGAGAGCCAAGTTAGTCGTGACTTGGAAAACATGGTTGGGGTCCACAAGTGTCTTGCGAGCCTCGGAGCCTCCAAGGCGCCCCCCCTATCTCGTGCACAGCGCAAAAAGCCCCTGCCTTAAATTTACACGGTCCGCAAGACATCGGCGCACGTGGCGCCTTCAGAATAAGCTAAATCTAACCGCCATGGCTATTCGCAGCGACGACAGCAAGGGTCGAAAAATCGTCGCAACTTGCGTCGCAACTTGCGTCGAGGGGCCACTGTTCCGTAGAGATTTCCATCGACGGCAACTCGCAACTTGAAATGACCTTGAGGCCCTGCGTCGAGGAGCCACTGCGAAACGCGTATCTCACCTGGCGTGGATGATCTTGACGCTCATCTTCTCGCCGGGTTTCCGCATGTTGTAGAGCACCGACCCCGCGATGCCGCTCGCCCACAGCCCGCCCACAGTGCGCAGCTTGTTCTCCACCACCCACTTGCGTGCCTCCGCGATAGAGAAGGAACCCGACGAAGCCGTCTTTGCTTCCTCCGCCATGGCGGCTCCTATCGTTTTTTAAGAATCTGTGCGGCTTCGGAGATGCGACGGACTAAGCAATGCTTCCGCTGACCAAGTCTCCTGGGCACCGTCAAAGCAGAACCAGGCTACTGCTTAGTTCGGAATCAGCGGCGGGGATGGGCTTCCTCTTGTAGTGAGACCGAAATCGGCGAGGTGATGAGGCAGGATGGAAGGCGTGACAGCGATCGAGGGTGGTGAGCGACACAAGTCGACGGCGTTGGGACCAGGTGATGGAGGAAGCCCGTGGCTGCGGAAAACTTGGTTGAGAACGGAAGTTTGATGAGTGGAGGGGATCGAGGAGAAATGGCGTCTGAATGCTTTTTATGCTAGGAGCACAGAGCAGAGACGACAGAACACAGAAACAGGGGGCACGGCGGGGGCTGATGCTGGGGGGTGGGGGAAGGGGGGGAAGGTTCAACAAGTTGTTGGATTAGGTAGGTGATTGTTGGGGGGCGTGTGTGAGTGGGGGGAGGGGAGTGGGGGGAGGGGATTTTGCAATGGCGACGAGCACCTTTCCTTGCACTGTCCGCAGCTTTCTTGGGCGCCTCGATGTCTCCTTGGACATGCGGCGGGCTGCTGGAAATTGGATGCACAGCAAGGCAAAGCGCTCTGCTCTGATTCGTTCGATACTGGCCACAGGTGGCAAGCGTGTGGATGGCATGGGTGGCTGGATTTCTCGCCTAGTTCGCTTGGGCGTCGCAAAGGCTTGCGAAACTCGTCGTCAATACGGAGGGCTCGAAATTGGGGAATTGCTTGCGAAGTTACCGAGGACTCCACTGACCACCCAACCAATGGGGCGATTTGATGGTGCCAGCAAGTCAACACCTACAAATCTTTTACCAATAGCCTCATGAGAAGACGCCAGCAGGGCAAGCTCCTCTTCTGGCGAAACTTCCGAAGAGAGTTGAAAACCCATGTGGTCCAGAAAAATGCCGCCTTGCCAGACTGGCAAGGCAAGGTGCCTTGTTGGCGTTGACAAATACGCGTTTGTGCCTACGCATAAGGACTCGGCAACCACGACGTGATGGTCACTATGTATCTAAATATCCTCCACTTAGTAGGACAAAGCAAACACCTAATAATCTGGTTGAATGACACAATTGAACCCTATAACTGCTCTACATGAGAAAAAAGCTAACGAGACTAACAGAATAATCAAGTTATGCTATCTGACCTTCGACCTAGCAGGAGTGGCGAATGCGAGTGTGTAAGGGCCACCACTCAGCCAAACGGGTTGAAATCGTCCAAAGATGATGCAGGAGCAGCCGCAGCCGCACCTGTAGCAGGAGCCGGTGGATGACCACCAGGAGCCGGTGCCCCGGTTGGCATAAGCGAAGCGAATGGATCCGCCGACGGTGGTGCTGCTGCTGATGCAGCAGCAGGACCGAATCCAAAGTTCCCTCCAGCAGCAGCAGCAGCAGCAGGACCAGGAGCAAAACCAGAAGCAGCACCACTGCTACCAAGGTAGCCAAAATCAATAGATGCAGACATACCAACACCGGCACCACCAGCACCTCCAGAATGCATCTGATTATGCCCTCCTCCCCCGCCTCCTCCCGCTAAACCCCCTCCCCCTGCCCCCCCTCCTCCCCACCCAAAGCCAGCACCAAAGAGGTCTGCAGACACACTCAACCCCCCTCCAGGCGTGGCGCCTCCGAACCCACCAGCAGGTCCGGCCAGACCAGGCGAGGAGGCTTGGACAGGGTTAGGCATGGCGAAAGGGTCGGAGGGTTGGGGGGGAGTGGAGGGGGAGAAGGTGGAGGGTGTGGGGGAGAGAGCTGGCCCGGGGGGGTATGGGGTGGCCGCTGATGGGAGAGCCACAGGGGGGTGATTGGGGGGAGGAAAAGGAAGGGGCGAGGGGGGCGAAAAGGAAGGGGGATGGGGGCGAAAAGAACTGTCATGAAATCAGGAAGCAACAACGAGGCATCGTGGGAATGAATGAGCAGGCTGGGACTGAAAGAGGCATCATACTGGCATGGCTATTGGACGGAGATGGGGAGGAATGGGAAGGGGAGACGACGTGATCACTCCCAATCCCGGCAGTGATAACAACCCCTTACCTGCAGTTTGCTGCGGCTGCTGCTGCTGGGGAGACTGGAAAGGGCCAGCGGCAGTGTTGCTGGGGCCGGCAAAATAGCCGCCAGGAAGAGCAGCAGCTAGAGGGTCCATGGCGAATGGCTGGGATGATGGGAGCAGGGAGAGGGGGAAGAAAGGCATGGGGTCAGGAAGGAGGTACGGGAGAGGGGCAGCGACCGGGTCCATGGCGAATGGCCGGAAGGATGGGAGCTGCAGAGCGGGAGGGAGAAAGGGGGTGATGAGATGGAGAGAAGCACGGTTATTGGAATGACCTGACTGGATAAAGAAAAGTGCGGATACCAAAAGGAGGTGAACAGTACGGAGGAGAAGCGGTGAGAGGGGGTTTCCAGCCAATGGCTGCCCGGATGGGGGGACCCACCCTCTCACGCCCTCTCTTCCACCCGGGCGGAGAGACCAAGGCTGAGGGCGAACAGAAACGACCAAGGCTGAGGGCGAACAGAAACGACCAAGGCTGAGGGCGAACAGAAACGACCAAGGCTGAGGGCGAACAGAAACGACCAAGGCTGAGGGCGAACAGAAACGACCAAGGCTGAGGGCGAACAGAAACGACCAGATTCTTTCCATGAGAACAGCAATGAAGGTGGAGGAGATGGCAGGAGGGCAAGCCACCTGGGCAGAACCAGCAGCAGTAGTCGTAGGGGCAGCAGTGGCCTCCTCCTCATCGTCATCATCAAAAGCAAAGGGATTGGTCGACTTGACTGCTGCTGCTGCTGCTGATGCGGCTGCTTCTGCGTTGCTGCCCGGACCATTAGCACCAGCAGCGGCACCATAGCCAGCACCACCCACACCAGCAGGAACACCAGCAGCACCACCGAACGGAGGAGGGGCGGCTGCATTGGTGGAAAGAAACTGGTCGTATGCGGATGGCATGGCTTGTCCTGTAGCAGCTCCTGCGACCTGGTAGGGCGGCAAGTCCATGGCTTGGGGAGGGAGACCCAAAGCGGACATGGGCGGCTGCAGGGGGCGAGGAGGAGAGTGGAGCAGAGCAATGCAAAGCGGTGCAAAGTTTCAGAGAAGCATAAGGAGTTCTCTGCAGAAAAAAAAAAAGGAAAAAAAAAAAAAAAACAAATACTGCAAGGGAGATAGTTGCAGAAATGTGGTGACGAGGTATGAGGGGCAAGGTGAACACAGGCGCATGCATGCATGCATGGATGGATGGATGCATGGGGCACAGTGAAGGCATGAAGGTGCTGACAGAATCCTGCAGTCTCACATCTGGAAGAGGAAGACTCAATCCCCAATCCTTTCTCCAACCTCATCCCGCCTGCATCCCACCCTTCCATACGTGCCCATATGCCCCATAGGCAGATGCAGCAGCCGCCACTGTCCCCGGCGACCCAAAGGAGAGTGTGCTCGTACCAATTCCCCACCCCTTTTCCACCCCCGTCCTCACATTCACACCATTCCCCACCCTCCCATACCTGCCCATAAGCCCCATAGGCGGATGCAGCAGCCGCCACTGTCCCCGGCGACCCAAAGGCGAGAGAGCTGGTATCCGTGACAGCAGGGGCGGGGGCGGGAGGGGCGGCGTAGCCACCAAGGTAAGGCAGGTCGTTCTTGACTTGCGGGGCTGGAAGGAGGTTGGTGAAAAAATCCTGATGGGGGGGGGAGAGGGGAGGAGGTGGGGAGGGGGAGATATGTGGGGGGAGGACAGCAGGTTTTGTGCGCCTGAAGCTACCTCCAAGGTGTGGCAAGTTCGTCCAGACTTGAGGGGCCGGGACGGAGGAGGTTGGTGAAAAGGTCCAGATGGAGCGAGGGGAGAGGAGGAGGCAAGGGGAAATGATGCGGAGTGAACAGCGGGTTTTGCGGCTCCTTGGGATCACGGAGGGAAGGGGGCTCGCCCTGACTTGCTGGGCAGGGAGGAGATTTTTGAGTCGACTCAAAAATCACGAAGGGGGCTCGCCCTGACTTGCGGGGCAGGGAGGAGGGGGTTGGGGAAAAAACTTTCTGGAAGGGAGTAGAGAGGAGGGGAAGAGGGCTTTGAGAGGAGTTGTATTTTGAGTCGACTCAAAATACAACAGGAGGGGAAGAGGGCTTTGAGAGGAGGGGAGGAGGCGAAACCGCTGAGGCGAGGGAGGCTCGTTTAGGCTGGAGGGCCAGGGGGCAAGTCAATGAGGAGATGAAGCAGATGGGGGGATGAGGGGGAGGGAAACGAAGGGTGACTTGGGGGAACGAGCAGTAGGAGGGGAGTAGAGGGGACACGGTTGAACGGGGGCGAGTAGCGGGGAGGAAACAAGGAAGTACGATTTATGAGGGGGAACAAGGGGGAGGAGCAAGAAACGTAGGTGTGAGTGAGTGCGAGGAAGGAGGCGTAGGAGTGAGTGAGAGGGAGGAGGTATAAGTGATGAGGAGGGAGAATGGCTCAGGCACCTCTGGAATTGCTGCACGTGCAGCAGATGCCTTTTGAGCCGCCGCTGCTGCAGGCGCAGATGCACCCCCTGCTGCCGCTGCTGTGGCGGCGGTGGCGGCTGGAGCAGCAGCAGGCGTCCCTGTCATCTCTGGCTGCTGCTGCTGCTGCTGCTGCTGCTGCTGCTGCTGCTGCTGCTGCGGTGGTGGTGGCTGTGCTGGCTCGTCACCAAAGGCACTCCATGCCTGCAGCACAGGCAAAGGAAACAGCAGGCAGGGCAGCAGATGAGCGCTGAGTCGCTGACTCCCTGACCTGACCTCTAAGCGACTCTGCAACGGGACTCCAACGTTTATGGGCTGGTTTTTCAAAGCTTAACGCGAGCAGCAGCGGGTGTATTTTTGAGGCGCCTCAACTATTGACTCTGAAACCGGACTCCAACGTTTATGGGCTGGTTTTTCAAAGCTAAACGTGAGCATCAGCGGGTGAGACACTCCCTCAACCTAATCTGCTACCAGCCAGCGTGTGACCTTGGAAATTCAGGAAGCGTGCTATGGGGTGGCAAACACCAGGAAAAAAACAAGGCAAGGGATGCATCAAACAGGCCTACCATATCTGCAGCTGGTGCTGCTGCAGTAGAAGCAGCTGCAGCGGTGGCGCCAGCAGCAGGTGATTCCCCAGCGCCAGAAGACGCTGCTCCCCCTGCTGCTTGCGCAGAACCAGCTTCAGGAGAAACGCCAGGTGCAGCCTCCGATGCAGGTGGGCTTGCAGCAGAAGCAGCAGCAGGACCAGCAGGACCAGGGGCAGAGGCAGGGGCAGGAGCAGGGGCGGCGTCAAAAGCAGCCCAAGAGGCAAATCCTCCCTCTACTGCTGGCGTATCCAATGCAGGCGCCGCTGCTGCTGCTGCTGCTTGCGGTGGTGCTGCCGCTGCCGCAGCTGCATCAACAGCGCCCTCTCCCCCAAACAAGCTCCCCTGCTGCATCGGTTGCTGTGCTTGTGGTTGCACCTGGGGCCCGCCAAACCCACCAGCAGCAGGGGGAACAGGCGCGGAGGCAGGATCAGCAGCAGGAGCAGGTGACTCGTCAGGCTGGAGGAAGCCTGCACCCCAGCCCACAGCCCCACCGCCCTGCGCCTGCTGAGACGGGTCAAAGGCCGCACCGCCTTGAGCCTGTTGACTCGAGTCAACCGTCGGCTGGCCGGCAGGACCTCCAAAGGCAGCAAAAGGCTGGGCGCCAGGCACAGGCGCTCCAAACTGCTGGCCGTCAAACGACTGGCTCACAAACGGCTGGGCTCCCCCAGGCTGACCCCCAAACGCTTGTCCCCCAAACCCTTGCCCCCCAAACTCTTGGCCCCCAAACGTTTGACCACCAAACGGCTGAGCCCCAAACGGTTGGCCTGCCAGGGGCTCGCCCCCAAACGGCTGATCCCCGAACGGTTGGGCTCCGCCTGGGAATTGAGCCCCGTAGGGAGGCACAGCAGCAGCAGGGTCGATACCTGCAGGGGCCACACCTGGCGCAGCAGGAGCAGGGGCAGCGGGGGGTGGAGCAAGGAGGTCTGCGAGGCCAAAGGGGTCTGCTGCCGGTGCAAGTGCTGCGGGTGCTGTGGTGGCGGTGGGCGGGGCGGGGGTGGGGTCGTCAAAGGAGAAGTCTATGAGGCTCGCCGTGGCGGCAGTGGCAGTGGCGGAGGGGGGTGGCTTGCTCTCAGGCGTCGGAGGGTGGGCGTCAGCCGCCTTGCGCGATGCCGCCTGGTGGTGGGGGCAGGGCGCAGGGGGCAGGGGGCAGAGGGACAGCCACAGAGAGAGAGTTGGGCATATGAAGGCGGGGAGACAAGCAGAGAGGAATAAAAGGAACAACATGTGAACAATCACATCCGTCTGTGACTGTGAACGACGAGCGTTATTGAAAGAGGGCAAGAGGGAGGAGTGAGAAAACACTGGTCAGGAAACTCACAGAGGAAGCTATTGACCCGGGGCTCCCAGGCGCACCATTCCCCCCTTGCTGCTGCCCCCCATGCACGCCGTTCCCCACCGCCCCCTCCTCCCCCTCCGCATACACCTTCAGCTCCACATCCCGCCCCAGCACCTGAGTCACAGACACACTCCTCACCTCCTCCCCTCCCCCACCCCCTCCCCCTCTAGCCCCTCCTCCTCCTCCGCTGGCTCTAGTCTGCCCACTCCCACTACCACCCCCACTGCCGTTTTTCCTCATGTGCCTCCCATCGCTCCCACCTGCACCTGAGGATCCTCCCCTCCCTCGTCTCTGCTAGTCCTCTGCCCCCCGTGCCCATGCCCATGCCTATCCCTCTCCCTGTCTTTCTCCCTCTCCCTGTCTCTCTCTCTCTCCCTCTCCCTGTCGCTGCCCCTGCTGTTACTGGAACCGGAAGGGGACGAGGACCTTCCCCCTAGACCGTCCCTCCGGTGCTCCCCCTTCAGTGAGTCCTCTCGTCTCTCCCTACTCCCGCTGCTGCTGCTGCTGCTGCTGTGCCTGCCACCTGCAGCCCCCCCACTACCACTTCCACCACCGCCGCTGCTGCCACCGCCACCACTGTGGCTGCTGCTGCTGCTGCTGCTGCCACGGGATTTGAATCCCAGGAACGAAGATAACCCTCCCTTATGCCTCGGCTTCTCCCTTTCCTGCTGCTGCTGCTGCGGCTGCCTGTCGCTCCCATACCCCGCCCCTCTGCCCGGGCCTCTACTCGCCCCACTGGCGCCTGCATACCCATCCGCAGAAGCCCTCATGGCCCGGGAATCAGAGGACGAGCGGCTGTGATCGCTGTGCTGGGAGGAGGGGGGCTGCGGGGAGGAGGAGGAGGCGGGGGGAAGGTCTGCGGGAGGGGAGGGGGACGAGGGCTGCGCGCGAGGGGGTGGGGGAGCAGCAGCGCCGCCCTCTCTGCTGGCCACGTAGCGCCTCTCCACATAGACCGACCGCACGAACTCCCGCAGCCGATTCGGGTCGCTGAGGGAAGGGAAGGGGTGGTAGCGGATGGGGGGAAGGGAAGGGGAGGGTCGATACATGTTGAGACCCAAAGGGAAAACGGAGCAAGGCGAGTGGATCAGCTTCTTGTGAGAGAGAGAGCGTAAACACGTACAGCAAAGTGCGGGAGGATGGGAGCGGGAAAGGCTGCAGGAAGACTCACTTAGGGTCTGGAGGCTGCACCCTGGCTGCATTGGCCAGGAAGAACTCTCGAGCTTTCTGTTACACGCGGGCAGGAGGAAAGGGGAGGGTAGACAACAGGGCAGATGTCGGTCAGAACAAAATATGTGACCACCACCAATGCCACGCCTACAACGTCTCACCTGATTGCCACTCACTGAGTGTACTCGCGACTGCACCTGGTTTCCGCAACTCTGGTTACCATATAACGGGTTACCACTGACCTGGTCGCCGCCTTGCTGCAGTGCCGCCACCTCCTCGGGCGTGAACTTGGCCATAGACATGGACTTGATGCGGCGGGTGTACTCGCGGCTCTGCCTGATTGCTACATATCTGGTTACCACATTTCTGGTTGCCAGTCACGCAGTAACCTCACCTGGTTGCCGCCTTGCTGCAGTGCCGCCACCTCCTCGGGCGTGAATTTGGCCATAGACACGGACTTGATGCGGTGGGTGTACTCGCGGCTGATAAAAAAGGGTAAGCGGGAGTTCACGTAACCGTTTTAGTAAAAGAATCTTGTTTTGTCTCGGGAATGCACTTCGCAATCGTCGGTTACCGGAAAGAACAAACGAGCTGAGGATGTAGATCTGGCAAGGGTGACGAAGGAGCAAACGGACGAGGACTCAATGGGTCCGCAGCGGGAAGGATGAGGGAGGATGAAGGGGACTCACTGGATGCCACTGCACGCCATGCAGACGAACGTCGCGAAATTCGTGCACACATACTGCGGGCCCTGCGATGGTCAGAGGGACACACGGATGATCGTACACACAGACTAAGGCTCGTGACGAAAGGAAAGGGGGGAATCGACGTCGGGGAAGGGTGCTTTAGAGGCCGGATGGTAAATAATGGTGTTAAGAAGCCCGGAACGGGTGTTTCGTGAGGGATTTGTGACGGTAAGGCGGTCGGCTGATTAGCGCTTAACGAGAAGCATTGAGTTAAACCGGCGAGTTTTGAGCGACATAGGTATCATCAGATCGGCGAGCTCGGAAGAATCTTAAAGCAATTGCTCGCCGTGGGTAGCTTATCGGGATAAAGACAGGCGAGCTGACCTCAAATGAGGCCCTGCCACTCTACAACAACTGAATCCCGGTATAACGGATAGATCGACACAGGTTGACAACTCGTCACGACTTGATAAAGGAGTAGCTTGCGAGGCTAAGTAGGGTCTTAAATGGCGGCGAACGGCGTTACCGGGTTGTTGCAGTTGATGCATTTCTTATTCTCGGGCAGCTTCAGCAACCCGCGGATAATTTTCTCGTGCTTCTCATCGTCCTTCTTGCTCATCGTGCCAGCGGGAAACGAAAGAAAAGTACAACCTCAAATATCTACAGCCTCCAGTGCAGGGTCGTAACTACTTCCGCGGGAAAGTAATTAAAAGTATTTATTTAGGGTCTGCAAGGAGGTGGGCTTGCCGACAAGAGTAGAAGCGCATCGATCTCCTGAACCGAATCGTTCAGCGACGCTTCGAAGACTGCAGAGCTAGCCACGGGGAAGGTACAGAGGAACAGAGCTACTGACTGGTCAATGGCAAAACACTAGAATCCCTGCTAACGCCATGGCCAAATATTGAAGGAAACTGCCTGTTTTGAAAAATGGATGCCTGCCTGTTCTGAGCTCTGTTTTGGGAGGTGTGTGGGGTGGTGAAGTTGGAACTCCCAAGATTCTGGCAGCCAGCCTTGGCTGTTCCCAAGGGCTGGCACTGGCACACTTCCCAATGTTTCCTGGCGGGGATTTCGGTGTGAAGGCGGGAACCAGGTGATTATATCGAGCACGGATTCCGTTTGGAGATGCCGAAAGATGCGATTGGTGCAAAGTGTGTACCCCTACGATTTGGAGGCACAAACCAGAAGGGTATATGAGAGTGTTCCCCGTTTATTAAACTGTATCTGCTCTTATGGAGGATGTGGGAAGGCGGGCACAGCTGGAGAATCTCCTTCGTGACAAGGGCGGTTCGGGCTGAATAACGCGCTCTACCCTCTAAAAGTCCGCAAACCAAACTGGACGTCAAATTTTTCTTCCCAAGACCCAAGCAAATTCTGGGCAAAATCACCAGCAATCTCAGCACCGGAGCAACTCCGCTCAGTTCTTGGTGTGTACTGGAAAGTCGAAACTTGAACGGGTTTCCACATGAAACAGGGCCTTCCTGACCTCCATAAGTGAATCCCTGATTCAGGGAACACTAGTATTGTACAGCCTGTATCCCTCCCAGCCTGGTTCAAGCTGCTGGGAGTAGCTTAGTAGCGATCGTGAGGCTTACCGCTCCGCTCATATCTTCCGCCTCGCGCGCGGAAATCGCTCGTGCGACGGCCAGTAAGTTTAGCCTCGTGCTGTCGCGTGGGAGCGGCGCGCGGTAGGGAGTGCGATGAAGAAGGGAATCCACCCCGCGCTGCAGTGGCTGAGCCTCGTGACCCCGCAGGGCCGCCTCGTGCGCGTGCTGTCCGCGCAGGTGTTCAAATCCGACCGGCCGTTCTACATCCGCGACCCGGGCAAGAAGGCCGAGACGGAGGGCCAGATCGCGAAATTTAACAAGCGGTACAACATCAGCGCGCAGGCGAAGGAGACCAAGGAGGCGTCAAAGGAGGCGAAGGAGTAGAGCTGGCGCAGTTACGCAGGTGAGTCGGTCGCGATGTCGGAACGGGAACTTTTGGGCCAGATCGCGAAATTCGACAAGCGCTACGTTTTCAGTACACAGGCGACGGAGGCAAAGGAGTAGAGCTGGCGCAGTTACGCAGGTGAGTCGGTCGCGATTCGTTAACGGGAAGTTCCCTCGCCTAGGACAGACCGCACGTCGGCGAAATAAGCGGTGGTGATGGGCGCGATGCGGTTGTTTTCGATGTGCATCCCTCGCGTTCGTTGCGATATTGCAGGGTGCCGATGCAGTTGTGTTTTTGCCGAGTCCGTCACGTGCTCGTTGGGGGTATTTCTCTAATCGTTGATCGTTTTTCTCCTCTACGCGATTTTCTCCACTCGACGGCCCTTCCTCAGCCGGCAGGCGGATGGCAGCCGCCACGTCAGCATGTGGCAGACCGACGTCAGCGCGTGGCGCGCTGCCAGCGATTCTACCGCCTGTGGCTGCGAGGGGGGAACTGGCCGGGGGAGAGGGGGGGATAAGGACTCAGGGGGAGGTGCTTGGGGGGGAGATAGTGGGGGAAGTAGAGGGGGAGTTGGAGAAGGTAGGGGTGATAGAGAACGAGAGGGAGGTAGGGCTGGCAGGGATAATTGTGGGGTTGATTGGGTTTCAGATCGGTCGAGAGAGCTTAGGTTGTCAGACTCGCCAGGAGTTTCAGTTTCAGGGTCCGTAGAGAGCTGTACTAGGAACAGCGTAGAGACAACAAGCCGTGTAGCGCGTCATGCTATAACGGGGACGAGGGAGGGGGATGCGGCAGGTTGTGGAGCGATTTATTCGCCTGAAATTAGGGTTAGGGTAACCGAGTTACAATCCTCCTTAGATCACACGACAACAGGATTAGGGATCCGTGAGCCGCCCCAGAAGCCACTCTGCCCGACGCATACTCACTCGCAGCAGCTGCAGGGGTATGCTTCTCCCCAGCAGAGGGGCTACTCCGCCCTGCTCTCACAGGCACAGGAGCATGCGACAGGGGGAACTGAACATACGTATGAGGCGCCTCAGCAGTCTCCAGGGGGGGTGCAGAGCAGGGAGCCGAGCGCAGAGCAGAGGAGAGAGCGGGTCGGAGAGTTGAAGTGTGGCGCAGCTGCAGATTTGACAGTTCTGGAGCGCAACAACGCTGGCCCATTGGCAGCGCGCCACGTGGCAGAGCTGTCGCCGTCCCTCCACAGGCACGCCATGGCATGGGATGCGGAGCTCATGCGAACCCTGGAGGCGGATGGCGGGGGGATGGAGGGCGGGGGGATGCAGGGTGGGGGGGTGGAGGGTGGGGGATGGAGGGTGGGGGGATGGAGGGTGGGGGGATGGAGGGTGGGGGGATGGAGCGTGCAGGAGGGAATGGGGCAACTTGTGCTTCATCTGCTCACACCTCCTCTGCTGAGGTTGTCTCCTGCTCCTCTCGCTCCTGCCTCCTCGACCTCCACTTCTTCTCCTCCACACCGATTCTTACCCATCCCAACCACGCCCGTCCCGTCCCTCCTTTATCCCCTCCCCCTCTTGTCGCCGCCCTCTCCCCCCCCACCACTGCACGGACGCTCCTATCGCCCCCTCTACCCTGTTGCCTTGCTTCTTCCGCCCGCCCCTTCCGGCCCCCTTTGTCACTCCCCCATTCCGCCTCTCCTGCTGCATGTGCACACCGTGCCTCGCAGGGCTGCTGTCAGTCCCATCCCTGTCCTCTCTCCTCTCCTCCCCTCGCCATGCCGTCGTTGCAAGGCTCCGGATTCCCTCCTCCTGCGCCCCCCTCCTCCGTGCCTCTTTCCTCTCCTCCTCACTGCCTTCCCCTTAGCGCTGACTCTCGTTACACTCACACCCCCCCTCCACGTCCTCACTGTCCCCCTGCTGCTTGTCGCGCCCAGTCACCCGCCCACCACCATCCCCCTTCTCCTGGTGCACAAGAATCTTTAATACTCTCACCTGCAGTGCGCTCATCTGCTGCTGCTGCTGGTGCTGCTGCTGCTGCTGGTGGCGGTTCTAGTGCGACTGGGTGCCGTCATACCAGTGGTAGCATCGATGCTGCTACCGCTGCTGAAAGCGCTGGTGATGCTGGGAGCTGCCTGAGCTTGAATGCATCTGAGCCGTCTGCCGTTCACCATGCCCATGCCTCTGCCTGCCCTCACCATACCCCGCATCACCAAGCCGATGATTGCGACTCAAGGCAGAGCCATGACCATTGCCGTTGCAATTATTGCACTTGCCAACAGCACCAGCAGCGCCAGCAGCAGCAACAGCAGCAGAACTCTCTCCTCTCTGGTCCACACCAGCATTGCTGCATGCATAACCAACATCACATACATCACATCCATCACCACCATCAGCGTCAGAGGTACCACTACCAGCAGCACGCGCGATGCCACGCACCGTCCTCATCCCCTGCTGTGAGCTACCGCGACATTGGCCCCGGCGATATGGATGACCTCAAGGCGCTCCATGAAGCCACCTTCCCCATCGTGTAAGCCTGTCCACCTGAAGCACTTGAGAAAGCACCTGAGCCACCTGAGGGTCACCTGAGGGTGTCTTAAAACACCTAAGAGCGCCGGACACGCCATTGTGCGATGCTTTCCTGCACATTCTCCTAGGAATGGTGCTATGCGGTTCTTGCATGCATCCCTACCGCGACATTGGCCCTGGTGATATGGATGATCTCAAGGCGCTCCACGAAGCTACCTTCCCCATTGCGTAAGACATTTCTCAGGGTGCTTTTGAGACTTCTCAAATGGTGCTTTTGAGAATTCTCAAAAGGTGCTTTTGAGACTTCTCAAATGGTGCTTTTGAGAATTCTCAAATGGTGCTTTTGAGACTTCTCAAATGGTGCCTTTGAGACTTCTCAAATGGTGCTTTTGAGACTTCTCGAAGGGCGTTTTTTAGAATTCTCAAAACCACCCTGCACGAAGCTACCTTCCCCATTGCGTCGTGAGCATTTCTTCACATTCTTGTATAGAGGATGCTCCGTTATTCTTGCATGCCCCTGCTCCTCCGGCCCTTTGCCCCCATTCCCTTCGTCCTCCCCTTTGTTTCTCCCACAGCCACGAGGCAGAGGTCTATGACAGCGTGGCACCATAGGAGCATCATCTCCAGGGGACCAGTCATCTACTGTGCTGCTCACCTTTTGCCCCCTCCCCTTCCCCCCTCCACCCTCTATCCGCCAGCTACAAGGCAGAGTTCTATGACAATATTGCAAACCATACAGGCATCATCTCGTGGGGAGCAGTAGAACCCTGGGACCTCACCACCCTCCTTGCTTTCCCCTCTCTCCCCACACCCAGTCCGCTCCCCTCCTCGCTCTTCCCCCGCCCCTCCCTGTCCACCACAGAGGCAAACCATGGACGGTGTTTTTGTGAATTCTCAAAAACACCCTGCAAATTTTGAGAATTCCCAAATACTCTCCCCTGCTCGCTCTTCCCCCGCCCCTTCCCCTCCACCACAGAGGCAAACCATAGACAGGTGGCTACGAGGCAGAGTTCTACGACAGCGTGATGCACCACCGGGGCATCATCTCGTGGGGAGCAGTTGGCTGGTGATCAACTTGTGACTTGAACTCTCCCCCCCCTCCCCTCCCCTCCCACCTCCCCTCCCTAACCTCCCCTCCCTCCCTGCCAGGTACGAGGCAGAGTTCTACGACAATGTGGTGCACCACAGGGGCATCATCTCGTGGGGAGCAGTGGACCCCTCTCAGCCTGGCCGCCTCATTGGCTTCATCACTGCGCGCCTGGTGCCCCCAGCAGAGGCTCAGGTAAGCGTGGGTTGAGCTAGTGACCCACTGTTGGGATCAATGGAGTCAATGGACCCCTCCCAGCCTGACAGGCTCATTGGCTTCATCACTGCCTGCTTGGCTCCTTTTGCAGAAGCGCAACCACCCCTTCAGAAATACAATGCGGCGCACAATCTTGCCCTCCTTTGTCTCCTTCCCACCCCCTCTCACATCCCTGCCCTCACTCTTGCCCTGTCTCCTGCCACCGTTACCTCACTCGCTTGCTTCTCTGTTGACCCCTCCTCTCCTCTCGCTCTTCTCCTTTGCCACCCTCCCCCTCCTTTCCTACCCCCTCACAGGGGGCAGAGGTGCTTCCCCTCACACCTCCCTCCTCCTGGCACACACCAGCCCCCACTCTCCTCTACATCCTCACTCTCGGTGTCGCAAAGCCCTACCGCAAGGCTGGTGTGGGTAAGCTTTTTGGATTGGTGTGGTTAAGCCTTTTTAATCTATTTCCAAGTCACCTTGAGCACTCTCTGCTGCTTTCTGCCAAGCACGCACTCACCTCTCCTGGCAGCTGTTTCTGAGGCGCCCCAAAAACTTAACACTCTCTGCTGCTTTCCGCCACGCACGCACACACCTCTCCTGGCAGCTGTTCCCCCAGCTTCTCCCACTGCTCCACCTCCCACTCCTCTCACACCTACCTGGTTTCTCCCACCACCTGCCTCGCTCCATCCGCCTTCCCTATTTCCATCCACAGCTTATCCCGTGCCTCCTCTCTCCCCCACTTTGCTGCTCTGCCCCTTCCCCCTCCGCCCTCCCCCCTCCCACCCCTTTGCCCCCTTGTATGTACTCCCCTCCCCTATTACCACAGCATCCCACTTGGTGTGCATCGCCTGCTCTCCCACACCTCCTTTCCCCCCCACTGTGCCACCCTGAACCTGCTCTCCCCCCCACCTTTCGCTTCCGTAATCATCTCTCCCTCCCACCACTGCCCCCATTGCGCCCCTGTCCCCCCAGCGTCCCACTTGATGCATCTCCTGCTCTCCCACACCTCATCCCTCCCCCACTGCGCCGCCGTCTCCTACAACGCCTCTGCCATTCGTTTCTACCGATCCTTCCGCTTCTCCTCCTGTTTGCTCTTTCCGCCTCTCCCCTTTGTCAACCAGCCTCAGAATGCATCGAAGTGAAAGAAGACGAAACCCCGTTCCTCTCACTCCTCATATTCTCACTCTCCCCTCCCCCCAAACCCACCCCCCCTCCTCAACTACTTGCTTGCAGCATCCCACTTGGTGCATCTCCTGCTCTCCCACGCCTCATCCCTCCCCCACTGCGCTGCCGTCTATCTGCACGTTGTCTCGTACAACGCCTCTGCCATTCGCTTCTACCGCTCCCTCCGCTTTGCTTACCTCCGTCACCTCCCCCGCTTCTACTATCTAGAGGATGGGTATTACGATGCGTTTCTATTCGCGCGTTACGTCAACGGGTGGTTACCACCTCCTCCCAGGTGAGATACCTGTACCATTCGTTTCTACCGGCCCCTTCGCTTCGCTTACCTCGGCCACCTCCAGCACTTCAACCACCTAGAGGGTGGGTACTACTGGTACGATGCCTTCTTTTCGTTTCCTTGTTTCTTGCATTTGCATAAACACATGACAGCACGAATTCCAACACATGCACATGCAATTGCACATAGCTAATTACAAGCCCCCTTTCTTGCTTATTTTCAGGTCCCACCCAAATGGGGGTTCGTTTGAACTCATGCAGCCTGCGGTTACAGCTGCTTCCACTGCCGTTTCTGCCGCCATGTCGCTAGTGTGTATTCGACCATCTACTTCTCTCCTCCAAGCCATCATTCCTTCCGCGTGGATTTTCAAGTGTTTGGAGTTCTGTAGAGCGACTTTCTTCCCTCGTGATGCATCTAGGCTTTCTTAGAATGTATCAGCCCGAAAAATTATACTACAGCTGATATTATTGTATTCATACTGGAGATTTCGTTCAACTCGGAGTGTTTTCCGACACCGGGCATGGGCCAGATTGTATGGAGGTCAGTTAGTTGTCAACTTTGGTCAAAGCTATATAACTCGGGGCCGCCAGGGGGGCGATGCACAGCCACGGCGACACCAGAAATATGCTGATGTGGATGTCCAGCTCGACTTAATCCGGTGTCCTATCCAGCTTCCGCGCAGTCAACGATCTCTCGGGGTCAACGCGGGCATCTCGCACTGCAAAAAACGTCCATCGCTGGAAAGAAGCCAACTAGGCTAGCACCAATTGCGGTGACGAGAGGCAATATTCTTTCGCAGATCGTGTTTCGCGAACCGGAAATTGTCGCCCTACGTTCTGGCATCCAAGATCGTGGGCGGGCATCCTGAAGACATGTCGCAATTTTCCGCCCTTCTCGTCAAATTACCTCCAATTTCACCACTTCCCAACCACCACCTCTCTTCATTAGTCAGGTACAGGTCATATGCCTTGTAGACGACTTCCTTTTACGCCCAGGAGTATCTCATTGGCATTTTATCCTTAAGGGCCTCTCCTTGTAGGCAAAGTGTACTCGTGTCATGTGAACAGTACTCATTACAGTCAATTGGCAACATTTTTTCGAAAGCCAATCAGTGTTTTCGTGCGACGATTTTCAATGGCAGGCGATCTGACACTGGCTGTTTGTGTCAGAATCGTCAACCAATGCTCGGAGCCGAATCCACATCACTTTCTGGAAAATCCAACAACCACTAGACCAGCCATTTATGTTCCTCCACGTTTGCCCCACAAATTGTGTGAGTAATGTTTGTACAATTGGGGGCTTGTTTTATATCACTCTGAAATGAATCCGGATGCGCAAACAGAACTGGTTACCGTTTTCGTCGATTTTCGCACACCCCGTACATTTGCGATTTTCTCAAATGTAAACGCCTTTTCCTTGTTCTTGATAGAGCGCATTGAATGTTGTGTGGAATCTAAAACTTTACCATGAACCCTGAGTTAACGCGTGCGACATGGTGAGCGACACCTGATCGCAACAAATGCCAACACTGCCGACCATGAACAGTTCATAAAATACAAGCAAAAAACATTTTGCGACACGCCAGAGTCCCGTTTGCCCGAGCATATTCGATGTACGCGAAATCCCCCGAGTCGCCCCCCGGGCTCTCAGGGAATATGACCTGTATCTAGTAATCAGGTCTATAGTCGTAGTAATCAGATCTCTGGTAGTGATCAGGTGTCTAGTAATACCATGGCCAAGCCTCTTTCCCGCACCAGCGCGGTGCTTTTTCTCGCCGTCGCGCTGCTCTCTCAGATGTCCACATCGACCAGCGCGGTCCAGGTGGCCGAATTAGTGGCCGCGCTGAAATACGCGGACGTCCAAGAAAGCCTCGTGGCGCGTCTCTTCGCGCTGGACGGCACCAAGGACTTCACGCTGCAAATGATATCTCTCAATAATTCGAGGCCACGCAGAAGGTAAGCCTCCCCGAAATTCAATGAATGTAGAGCATATCAGGGTCTGCCTTGTTCGAGGTGGTTCGCGCTTGCCCCTAGTCAACGCGTGGCAGCTCGAACAGATGGCGTAAGCTAGGTGGCGGTGTGGTAGCGCTAACATGTGGCGTAAACTGAAGGCTACATACGGGTGTGCTATGTGATGAGGGGCTGCACGGTTACGTGTCGGAAGGAGGAGGTGTTTGGGACACGCGGAGGACTTGTGAGCGACGAGCAGAAATTGGTACAGTAACGCGGTGTTCGGAGGAGCAGAATGCGGTTCGGTTACATTGTGTGAAATGCGGTTTGGATGTGCGCTACGCAATGTCATGTGGCATAGAAAACATTTCATATAATCTGCTTCTTTGTATCTCTTTGTACATAGTGAATCTGAAATTTCTCCCTCACGTTGTGCTGCTTGTTTACAACCAGAACTTGACTGGTGGTGTTAAGACTACCCTTAGTACTGGCGCGAGTGCTGTCGGGAGTCGGTTTGGAGTGTAAGAACGACCTGAGAGCAGCAAGAGCGCTGCCGGAAATTCTAACAGTTGGTATCAGAGCTTGGCGAATCCTTGTTGCGCACGGCTAGAGAGAGTTAGAACGCCTATGCCATGACGGATGAACGTGGCGAGGTTAGTTCGGGATCGTCCGCTGGTGGAGGCCCGCAACTACAAGCTCTCCTTGAAGCGTTTGCGCAGGGGCAGGTCGTTTTGAAGCCAACGATTGGCTTGTGCGAGGCGCAGCGTTTTAGTGGCAGCAACTATAGTACACCGCGCTTGAAGTTTATCAGGAGGGCAGAGGAAGAAGACCTCTGGATGTTCAATCATCCTGACAAGACGACAGAGGAAGGAGTACCACCAGGTGTAGGAGCGACTGCGCGTGAAAAGACGGCGTATAAAAAGAAGAGACAGCGTTCGTTCAGCTATGTCACTCCGTTGCAGACAGCATAGCTGTAGGGTTAGATCAGTTTGCAGGGGAGTTAAATCCAGTGCAGAGAGTGTGGGAGTATATGGAGACGGTTTACCTTGGTCGTACCGACACCAACAAAGCAATCGTTAGAAAGAAGTTGTTGTTGAGCATGGAGGAGAAGGAGAGTATAATCGAGTTCGTGAGCAGGGCGCGGAGTTATAACGATGATCTGCAGGCGATGGGTGCAGCGGAATCCGAGGGAGAGATGATAGGGTATATCATCAATGGGGATAGGCATGCTGACTTGCAACCCGCCTACATCTCTCACAAAGCTTGTAGAGATGCTGCAATCGCTAGAGCTGGTTAAGATGGAGAGGAAGAGGAATAGTAGTGCTGCACCAGTGAAACCAGCTCTAGTTAATGTGACAGGGCCTACAGCAAAGGGCTTCGGACCATGTTTTGAGTGCGGTAGAAATGGGCATAAGGCAGCCGAGTGCTATTTCAACCCTAAGAGTAAGAATTTCAGGGGAAAGACCTTAGGGAAGGAGCAGGGTGCGGACAGGGCAGCAGGAGAAAAGGTGAGGACAGGAGGAGGTTTCATGGGCAGCTGCAATCACTGCGGGCACTATGGGCATAAGGCGGTAGATTGTTTTCTCAACCCTAGGAGTCAACGCTTCCAAGGGGTACGAGTGCAACAGAAACCCGCAGCGGCTAGAGTAAATGCAGCAAGCGCATTAGCAGAGGAGGATGCAATTCTTGGAGGAGCACATAGAGCGAACTTGGCTAGGCCGTCGGAGGTATGCGTGCTCACAAAGGGGCTTGAGGAGAAAGGCTGGTTCATGGATAGTGGGTGCACACAGCACATGACCTACAGAGGTGACTGGTTGACTAGTTTCAGACAGTCAACAGTACCCTATGTGCTGCTAGGAGATGAGGGGAGGCTGCCTGTGTTGGGAGAAGGAGAGATCGTGCTACAGAGTCCGTACGGGGAGCTGACCATTGAGAACGTTTTGCTGGTCGAGAAGCTGTCGCTAAACCTGATTAGCCAGTCTCAGCTCGATAGCACAGGAAGCACGTTCTTCAGTGATAAGGGAAAGATGTGGGTCTTTGGAACAGATTGGCACATTCTAGCTGAGGGGGTGCAAAGTCAGGGTTTGTACGAGATGCAGTTACAAGTAAAGGAGTTGGTGAAAGGAATAGTTAGATATCTGCCCGAACCTGAGGAGGGCAAGAAGGCTAGGGAGGAGCTGGTTGCCATGATAGAGGAGAGGGCAGTGGGAGAGCCACAGTTACAGTCAATGGCTATGGTAAAGGCAGCAGGAGGAGTGGAGCCAGGCATGTGGCACAGGAGGATGGGTCATGCTACTGAGGAGCGGCTTAAGGAGATGGTGGCGAAGGAGATGGTTATGGGGATGGAGCTGAACCAGAGTAAGGAGTCTGCTAAGCCATGCAGTGAGTGTGTGCAAGGGAAAGCGAGAAAACTTCCACATCCTAAGCACGAGGTTCGAGAACCCTATGGGGCACTCGAAGTCGTGGTTGCAGATGTCTGTGGACTGCTGCGAGTAGCTTCCAGGCATGGGAGTAGGTATTTCATCACATTCACTGATCTTGGTACATGGAATACGTGGGTAACAGAGATGAGAGATAAGACAGAGGCCTTTTCAAGCTTTGTGGCTTGGATGGCTGAAGCTGAACGCCAGAGTGGAAGAGTGCTGAAGGTGTTGAGGACTGACAATGGAGGTGAATTTACAGACAAGAGGTTCACAGAGTTTTGTCTGTCCAAAGGTATCAAGAGGCAACTGACTGTCCCTTATACCCCACAGCACAACAGCATTGCAGAGCGAGTAAACAGGTCCCTGCTGAACAGCGTGAGGAGTATGCTTGCTGATAGTGGGCTTCCACAGAGGTTTTGGGGTGATGCTTTGACCATGGCATGTTGGATTAAAAACAGACTGCCTACCAAAGGTACTGTGGGTGACCTTACCCCTCATGAGGCATTCTATTGGAGGAAGCCTGACGTGAGCTTCCTGAGGGTATGGGGCTGTATGGTCCAATATCGAGAGCTGGTTGGTCCTGAGCACAAGCTGTTGCCAAGGACCAGGTGGGGCATAAACCTTGTGATATATCTTAACAGCAAGGGCTGGGTGGTGAAGGACGTGGAGACTGGGAAGGTGCTGATTACTCGGGATACTACTTTCTATGAGGATGTCACTTATCCCCAGTGGATGAGCCAAGAGTCAGCAGAGACAGCAAAAACGATGGAGGAACTGCTGGAGGAGGCTAACCAAGAAGGATTAGGAACAGCAGCAGCTGGTAGAGAGGAGGAGACCAAGGAGGAGCAGACTGGGGCTGAGATGGAATGGGAGTGGCCCCCGGAGGAGGTAGAGCAGAGGGTAGCGAGCGAAGAGCTAGCAAGACCAGCCATTCAGCCCATACAGGAGGAGGTAGAGAGTAGGGCAGGACACCATGAGGAAGAGGAGATTCAGGTGGAAGGAGCAGAGGGCACACACGGGAGTGCTACTACATCTGGAGAAGGGACTGATCCATGGAGGTTGATGGCGAGTGATAGTGGCAGTCCAGCAGCTAAGGAGATAGACTCTTTGTTACAAGAAGGAGCAATAGTCCTAGAACGAGAAGAGGAG